CTTGTTCGTTCTTTGCGTGAATACGATTTTTCGTCTGATTTCCAGTTTTTTTTCTTTTTTTTCGACAGTTCATTATTTCAAAGTATAAATCTCAGTATTGTTTGTAATTATTCAGCGCCATTTGACAGGAGACATTCCCTGAGTGAGTACCAGATATGCCGCTACTCAATGTAATTTCTGATTTTGTGGATTTCATATGTACTCGTGTACTTTCGAACTTTTACGAGTTTACTACTGTGTAACAGCCTCTCTATTTCTTCTCACTCGTTGTATGTCGAGCACTAATTACACGCTAATTGCGGAGGATCGATTGTCACGGAGACTGCTTGTTCCCAACGGACGGCAACTTTCGGAAGAAGACTTCGAAAGCTAGGGAGGAAGAATGGAAAAAAGAAAATAAGATCTGATGTCTTTCTTATGCAAAAAAATCTGTTGAAAATTTTGCTTCCAAAAATGTCCACCAACTCTCGCGTTATTCGAATATTCGCTCGAGACAAATTCGTTTCTCGAGTTTCTTCGACGAAAATTATGAATCAGTGAATTGTGTTTTCCGTCGAACTCGACAAAATTATGCCGAAATCCCGGAAGGAGCAGACTCCGGAAGAGTTTTTTTGAACAAGTACATCATTTCTTGATCTTTTTTTTGTATTTTTTTTCTATTGTACTCTTGATGAATGCATGATCGATGTTCGCTGACGAGAGTCAAGATGATAAGCAATATTGATGAACGTTGGATTTTCTTTTAGAAGAAGAAGACCTCGACCAAACGGAAACGTCAGTCATCCGAGAGCTCCACAGACAGGTACGTCGATCGCGTCCTCCCTTCGAATTAAAAAAAGCAAGAATTGAAATACTCTAAATATATCTCTATAAATATTCACACACCTCTTTTCTAACCCACGATTCCATATTGCAGCTCTGTGGAGAGACCGAAAAAGTCAGTGAAACACGAGAGAAACGCCGCGGTGGAGAAGGCGTCGAAAAACGAAGTTTCCGAGAATGCCACCACCTCGCGGGAGCCGCCGTCTCGATCGATTCGATCTCCGAAGAAGGCGGAGCGAGCGGCGGTGGCGCGAAATGAGACTCCGCCGCTGCAACCGGCTGCCGCCAAGGCGAAGAAAGACTCGCCGACGAAGAAGAGCGCGACGGAGAAGCGGGACAAGTCGCCGATGAGCCACAACAGGAGTCCACCCACGTCATCTCGGCGATACCGATCGTCGTCCCGCGGCAGGGGCGACAGAGGGGGAGGAGGAAGATCCCCGAGAAGATACTCGAGATCGCGTCGCGCCAGTCCGTCGCCCAAACGCAGACGGGGCTACTCCAGATCGCCCCGACGACACGGCAGACACTCCGTGACGAGAAGCAGAAGTCGCTCGAGGTACGATCGTTACGGGTCCTCGCGCAGGAGACCGGCGTCGCCGCCGGTGAGGCGCCGGGACGCTGATTCTCGCCGGAGATCGCGCTCGCCGCGGCGACAGCAGCGCCGCCGGTCCCGATCGCGCTCCACCCTGAGCTACTCGCCGGTGCGGAAGAATCCGGAGCGCTACAGGGACATCCTGGAAGACCGGAAGCAGCGGCGGGATCAGAAGAAGGGCGCGAAGGGCGACAAGGCGAAGTCACGCTCGACGTCGAGGAGCAGGAAGGCGCAGAAGATAGCGGTCGCGCCCAGGGTGAGTCTGAGATCGTCGAGCGAGGACGAGGCCGATTTGGCGGCCGACGACGACGAGCCCGGCAAGCAGCAGCGGGAGGAGGAGGACGAGGAGCGGAGAATCATGGAGCTGAACACACTGAAGCGACTGCAGAGCGGACTGGCGGCAAAAGCGCGCGAGACACTGGAGAAGAAAGTGATCAGTCCCGCGAAGATCAAGATCGAGAGACGAGAGGACAACGTGCTGGACATCGCTCTGCCGAACGAGCCGCCGAAGATCGTCATGCAGAGCGTAGCCGCGCCGATTCGCGACAGATCGGTGTCGAAGGAGCCGGTTGCGCAGACTCTGCCGGCCGTGCAGTCGCCGGTGTCGAGCAGATCGCCCTCGCCGGCGCTTCCGCTCACCCGCGAGGAGGCGGCGATCAAGATCAGATCGCCGAGCGAGTCGCCGCCGTCGTTGCTGCCCCAGCAGTCCTTCGACAAGGTCGATTCCGCGTCACCCGGCGCGAAGAGCAGGACGAATCGCCGATTGTCGACGTCGCCGAGCGCCTCCGGCAAGAAGAACTCATCGCCGATCGCGAGGAAAGACGCCTCCGTGAGAGAGTCGTCCTCCCGTTCCCCCGCGCCGCCGATAATATTCCGAGAGGATAACGTGATGACGAAACTGCGCTCACCGAGCGAGTCGCCGCCGCCGTTGCCGAGCGTCTCGCTCGCCAGATCGAGTCGGCGCTCGAAGTCGCCGAAGAAGAACAAGTCGTACTCCAGATCGGCGTCGCGCTCCTGCACGAGATCGCCGGCGTCCGTCGCGGGCAAGGCGAGGTCTTCCATATCGCCGTCGCGGGACAAGAAGTCGCGGTCCCGCTCGCGCGGCAAGAAGTCGTCGGCGTCGCCGAGACGACGGTCGGCGTCCAGATCGGCCTCCCGGGCGAACAAGACGTCGCCCAAGGCGAGGGCGGCGAAGCAGCAACGCTCCCGCTCGAGGTCCTCCTCGGCGGAATCGAAGCGCTCGAGCGTGTCGAGGTCGCTCTCGCGCTGCAAGAAGTCCGCCTCGCGGTCCAGAAGCAGAAACCGATCGTCGTCGAAGAGGAGATCGCGCAGCCGCTCCTCCCTGTCGAAGAAGTCGAGGAGTAGATCGCTGTCGAAGAAGAGGTCGCGCAGCCGTTCGCAGTCGAAGAAGTCCAAGAGTCGTTCGCGATCCGCGTCGAGAGCGTCCAGGGACAAGGACAAGCGCAGTCGCACGAGGAGTAGCTCGCGTTCCTCCATCAGGTGAGCATTTCAACGGTCGAGCCGTGGCGAGCGATTAAAATACAGTCCGATGAAGTGTCGATAAAAGTAAGGAGAAAAAAAAAATTAGAATTCGTGATGCGCATTTCAGCTCGAGGCACAGTCGAGGCAGGAGCTTCTCCAGCTCGTCGAGATCATCGAGCAGCGTTTCCAGTCGGTCCTCCCGCTCCACCTCCAGCAGCTCCGCCTCCAGCAGATCGCGCTCGCCGTCAATACCCCGGCGTCACGGCTCGCCCAGCTTCCTCGACAGACGGCGCATCACGAGGTAGGTATCGATAGCGCGCGGGTGTGTGCGTGTGTCACGTTACCGTGGTAGCTTATTATATATTTACCGCGCACTACACTACGAATTCGTGAATCCACCATCGTAATCGTAGACTTGAATCCGCCACTGTTATCAGTTATACGCACTTTCTTCAATTCACTTTTTTTCTTTTGTTCAAGTTTTTCGTTATTACAGTTATTTTGTTTAAATAAAAAAAAAAAATACGAGAAAATTTTCTAAGGATTATTTAAATTCGAAGAGTGAGAGACTTTTGTCCGCGGCATAATTACGGAGTTTTGAGCTTTCGATGTGCTAATATTGTACTTGTTATGTCCTACAGAGACAGATCGAGGGACAGGCATAGAAGATAGAGTTCTGTACGGCTTCGCACAGATGTTTCCGTAATTGCTCCACGGTTGCTATATATTATTATCCCGTTATCGCTCCACGCATAGCGAAAGTCTGATATATCGAGCTATAGATATATATTTATATATATATATATATACACATATAGAATTTCCCTTGGAAATTGCTTGCAGATTTGCGATTAATACTTGACTGTTGATTGAAACAGGCATATCCGTTCGTATTCTCTTTTCTTGGCGTGACAGACGTATAGTAACGTTTTTCCTCAGTGATTGTGTATTTTACTGCTGTAAACAATTGCTCGATGACGTTGACATCTGCCGAATGAAAATATTCGTATGATGAAAATCATATTCAGTGTTAAATGGCGCACACTACACGAAGGCTGGCTGTATAATGTAGCCGACAAATGTAATTAACGTTTTAGATGATCGAATTGACGTATATTTTAGTGACGTGTAATGGAATCGTGGGAAAACTTAGACCAAAAATCCGCGAGTGTTAGCAATCGTAATTATTGAAGATGTCGTAAATTAACGTAACGCATAAAATGATTCTTTATTTCGTATTTTCGAATTTTTCATTTGTATAATTTTTTTTTTGTTTCTCTATTCCTATACTCATTTCTTTATCTTTTGGAAATTAAATCGCTTACAAACTGATTTACGAAGCGTGTAGATGTAGCATGCGTGTATCCTTTATAAATATTCCTTTTCCTTTATAAATATTGTAAATTAAATTGTTTTTGCTGTAGGAGATCCCCTTTATGTTATTGTCGACACAGAATAAAAGATTTGCCGAAAGTTTCTTTCTTTTTTTTTAATTATAATTTTACATATTAGTTTTGCAATTCACGAGTATTTCTCGCGTCCCTGTGTTCTCCAGAGAATTGAGGTGAGTTATGATATTTTTATTTTGCATGCTTAGTTCCTCTACAAATCTCGCTTATTTTATTTTCATCACGCATGTGCATTGTCTGTTTCACTCATAACGAATCAATCTCTTCTTACCGAACTGTAGATCAATCAACTTATTCAATAACTAACTTACAATCATAAATATTTTACATTAACGATTGATAATTATATTTTACATATATGTACAATATTGACAGTTAACTTTGATTCTCACTAATGCGCAGGACATGATGCGTCGAGCATTTTCCTATCCTTTTGCTCTCGAGATCTTAACATCTTTCCACTAACAATATGCATTTCTTTCAAATTTGCGGTGTAACTAACGAGCGTTCGTTTTAGTGCAAGGAAACGTCCAATTCCGTATCATCGACCCACCCCGACGCCACCCTCGTCGCCGAGCAGCTCCGAGAGCAGCAGACACAGCAACTGGTCCAGTCCGAGTCATCGATCCAGCTGTTCCGCCAGCCGCAGTCCATCTTACACGCGCTGAGAGGCGCGTGTGTACTCCCGACAGGAATCCGACGTTCCTTCTGCATTCACTAGACTCGGAGCAGTGTGGTTTGATCCTCTACGACCTGACGCGAGCCTGGAATAAACCGCTACTCGTTTCTCGAAACATCAATTTCTCCCACTGAGTATTGTATTTGAATATTAGTTTGAAGTAACAACTGTAAATATTGATTTCGTGTGAAAGTTCAGGTCGTAGAGGGTTGAGAAATGTTCCAGAGAAGAGTTAAGTGTCTGTTAAGTTTTCTGAAACGAGAGATTACGGAGAGATTGCGAGAGAGAGAGACGCAGGGTGTCTCGAAAAGTGGACGTGGCGTTGATCTTTGCGAAATTCATTAGCGAATATCTCATCGACGGTTCTCGATGGTTCTTCAACGAAAGAAGATAGAACGATGGAACGAGTTTCGCGTGGAGCAACGCTATGTCTCTACTTTCAGCCAGTTCTGAGACACTTTGTATATTGAATTGTTCGCGATATCAATTGATCCAACAAATTGATCCGACAAAAGTTTGAAAGATGTCTGAGACATTTTTACTTTGTTATAAAAAAAAAAAGAGTACGTTGATTTTATTATTTTAGGATAACGATTGGCAATCAGAATTGCCCGGAAATGTAAGTGCAGGCTATCAATGATTTTTCATTAAGTATTATTTGAATGTTGTTTAATGGATTTATTCGATTCCATTCAATGACATCGAAAGCGCCGTTCCGAGGATAAGCGCGTAATCTTCGTGTGCGTTTATTTTTCCGGACAAACGTAACAATCAGAGATTAATTGATATTATATTTATAAAACGAAGTCATAAATTTCAATAACTATCATATCGCTAGTATCGTGCATTCCAATGATTTTCTCGAATGGGGAAGTATTACATTCCAAATCGATTTCACATTTGTTTCTCACTCGAACGCGATGCAGTTTTATAATTATCGCGCAGAAATATCGATGTAGAATTTAATGTACTATATCCTCTTTCTCTCTTTACTCGGCAGGTTCATATTAAAATGGTGCAGTAATTTCATCTCATTTTTTCCTATAGGAAAGACTTGCATTTGATTTTAAGCATTCGTTGCGTGTGTGAAGACGTGCAAATAAGCGAGGGGGATACTTAAATAATAGATAATGAGAATTCTTTCTCTCTTTCTCTCTTTATGAAGCGAGACTTTTATAAAATGTTCGTCTCCATCTTTACGATGTAAAATTCTCTTCTAAGTTTCCGTTGAATCGCTCCAAAATTTCTCACGCAATTCGCTAACGTGATATGAGCAATAATGGAAAAGAATCTAGTTGAGCATCGTTTTTCGTCACTCTGTTTCGCAATATTTTGATGTAGCTTAGTGAGATAACGAGCGTTTATTTTCCAAATCACGCTCTACTATAAATTCTCATACTAGTCAACGAATCTCGTGAATTGAATACGTGTATTCGCAATTTCTTTAGTGCAATCAATTCATTCTTTTATATATATAAGACACATTCGTTTAGAAAAAAATCATACATTTTTCTGAGACGACATCCTTAAACCTTCTGCGTGATATCTGTGAGCCGTCTATGGGCTACGTATACTTCATCAATTATTTTATTAGAAAGATGTTATATATTTTATTTATTGCATTTATATTTTATCTGCAAAAAATTAATTTAACTAAATTGTAAAAAATCTCTTTAAGTAAAAAAAAAAAATTATCGACAGACAAATTTTGGCAAATTTGACAGTCTTCTGGACACAAAGAGCACGCAAAGGGTTGATATCTAGTTCATAATATTTATTTATATTTATATAGATATTTATTTATTTATTTATTCTGTAAAGCAGTCTTAGCGATCGCGGTATGTAATACTGCGATTCTTTTACATGCAATACTCGCAGCTAGAAAAAAAAAAATACTCTAGTCATATGGAGATGATTTTTCGCGAAGGCCCGAAGCACCGGGCCAGGCAGCAGCGTAACAAAAAGGCATAATTAGAATAGTAGTCTTGACTACGCGACGTTAAGTCTCGAAGATATATGTATAGGGTTAAAGAAAGATCGTATTTGAAAAGTCTACATTGTTTACGATTAGACAAAACTATGTAGCACTAGTTCTCATACTCACACACTAAGGACTGATTCCTTTTTAATGAAGAATTTCCCGAGTGCTAGTACCGTTGCACTGCTGCTGCTAGGATCGTTGCATATGAAATGTCGGAAGTGTGACATTTGGCATAGAAAATAGCCTCGATTTTTCCATTTTTTAAACTACCTGCATTTGACAAGATCGTGAAAACAACTTTTTATTCTGAAAATATTGAATGTTTTTTAATTACATGTTATTTTGTTCCTTCAGAAATTCTCTGAAAACGATTGAAGCCGATATTTCATGTATACAACAACCTAATGATTTACGCTGTTGGATTCTATATTAATGCAATTCTTTTTGTTCGAATATATTTTACAGTTTCATCAGAGTATTAATTGTGATTGCTCCTTCCTTTCCAAATCAGTACAACAACGTTATGAGATCTGAAACGGTAAATTCGGAAACAACGCTTCTTGCACACCCATTATACCCTGCGATCACACTCACTGAAAATTACTTTCAAAACTCGAGTTACTTTCAGAATAAAATTCTGATCTCCTCGTTCATCGTCCCATTGTTGAGAGAAACTTGTCATGGCTTTTGAACCTGATGTCTGTACCCACTTATAATTTGCAGCCATCGAATGTTACTATCTCGTTAAAGTGAAAGAAATTCGGATATTATATCTGTAATATACTCTGTATTGTTGTTGTGTGATTAAATCGAAAACATCAAATATACAGACCGTACTTTGTTTCCGAAAATTTTATTCCACATCTCAAGAAATATATCAGGAAGAAAATTATGAAATCAGTAAACGTGATTATTATAACTAATATTACAGATGGGTGAAAATGATTAAACGTCTACATTCAAGAAATTTATTCGAAATATATTCAGAAATATAATGGAATTCTAACATTTAAAGAAAATACAATTAGTGATAATTAGATATTTAATTTATACTTTTTATAAGTAAAAAAATATAATTTGCATGCAAATTTTTATACTCCTTTAATACTAAAACTATATAAATGCAAAAATATTCTTTATATTTATACACTGCACAATTTGAATATACAAGTCAGTATATTCTGATATTGATAATAGAATAACATCTTAGGCAAAAATATTAACAACAATGAAATGCATTATATTATTTTTACTTTGTACAATAAAGTACTGATAATTCGTACTTTATAAATTGATCACATTCATATAAAATGCTTTTGCTTTCTGGAGGAATCCAGTAATGTTACTTTATACATATATTAACTTATTTCCACCGTAATTTCTTATAATTATTATACAAAGATATTACTCATATCGTTGCATATATATGAATCATATATTATATAATAATAACAGATTGTAGATTTTTCTATTTTTCTTTTGAAGCTTTTGCCCTCTTATTTGCAAGATAGATGACCCATATGAAACCCACGAGATTCACCACCAACACTCTCAACTAAAAAACCGAATAAAACCAAGATAATTTTAATGATTTTATATAGCTTTTAGCATTATTTATCAAAAATTTCAATATTATAAAAAAAATAATACAAATAATATAAGAATATTTATGAACACTACAGAAAATAAAAACATGATATAAAATCTCATGTAAATGAGAAATAACTCTTAACAAAATAAAAATTTCTGATAAAAACTTCAAAAGTGTCAGAAGAATATTCTAACAAAATAATATGTGTTTTTACATTACCATTGGCGGAATATATTTGATGTTGATAAACTGGAGCAGTGTCAGATATTTTAAATTAGCCATCAACATCGGTAAATACAATTTTTTGCATTTGATTACATGCTATTCGATGAGACTTGCCCTGCAGATAATTTGTATTTAATATTAAAATACAGAATAATCACTCAAATAGCTATGAAACAATAATGTATGTAAGCCTAACAATGTTTTTATCTCTATTTTATTGAGATAGTTTGCTATAGTTTTCAGAATCATTAAAAAATATTAAAAAAGTACCTATTATACTTTTGTGATGTTCATACCTCGAAAATGGCAAGCATATAAAGTGCCAGCGCTTGAAAGCATGGTGTATAAATGAGTCTTTCTATCAAAAGTATACCCAATGGATGTCTTACGAGCAAATGTATATATGTGTAAAAGTAATGAGGCACTGGCCCTCCAAAGAACAGGCTGCAACAATATTTGTGCGTATGAGTCCACAATTCTTGAATTTATAAAACTTGCTTTGTTATCAGCATAAGCAACAGTCTATGATGGTTTACCCAAATAGAGCAAAGGCAAGGATACTGTCTTCATTAAGGTGTCTAGCACCTGACAACTTCTGAGATACCAAATTGCCAAGGGCAGCAATGACACAACTGAAAACATTTGTATTATAAATATTCATGCTTCACTTGTCCAACTTACAAGCATGATTTCGAATGTACAAATCTAACTTCATACTAACCACTCGTTACAACAAACATTAGTAAATGTATAGAAATATGTTTAAAATATATAATAAATGAATTATATCGATTAAACATAGTGTCAACTGAAGTTCCTAATCGCAATATGTTTAATTGTATTCACACTCACATATGTCGTTATTACCTTGTTATAGCCTTCGTTTTCAAGGGATTAGTATACAGCCGCTGGAAATATGCACCAAGCAGACCATAAATGATGGTGCTCGGTTTAGAGAGTGACATTTTTCCAAAATTAGATGTCTTCTATGATCAATTTGATAGATCTAAGGAAAAGCAATTCGTGTGATGATTCACAAAATGTAATTGAGCGATAAGAAACAGTACGTATCAAAGTGCAAAGTGCGAAACACAGTTGCAGTTAGTCAAAAAAGTTTCGACTTAGTTTTAAAAGGGCAGATGTCATATTACGGGGAGCTCGGTTATTCTAAAAAATGTCGTGATTTATACATAAAAAATATAATATTGAATTTCTGAATAAATCATGTATCATTTACACAAAATAAATCTAAATAAGTTATAAAATCCATACAGTGATATGTGAATACATTCTTAGGAAAAACTAGAGAACTCGACATCCTATCGCGTGACAAATTGGTCAAAACTTTTAAAACTAAGAATCACAGATAATCAACTCTAGTTTCAATAAAATTTATACTTTGTACAATTCAATCACTTGCAAAATTTGCAATTTTAGCATTAAATTTATCCGAAAGGTTAAGACTTTTTTTTGTGGCGTACATTCATAGAAAATTTGACATCGATCGTTTTGCTACCAAACTGCAAGTTCGATAAAACGCGACAGAAGTTGCATTATATGTGAAAAAGATGATAAATTCGAAATGTATTATAAATGCATACATGATATCATTAACGACTTCAAGATGCAAGCATCGCGGCAAGCCGAAAGTAAATATTGAAGGCATGAGAAAGATGCAAAGCTAAGGTTTCGGAGCTACCAATGTTGAAAAAAAAATTCTTCGTGTGTATTGCGTGTCACGTGGTACATACATTGTTGACGCGAATCTATTGCAAAAGAATAGTTATATAAAGACCGATAATCATATTACATTTGCGTCTCCAACATTCAATGTTTATAAACCGAGCGTAAATAAAAATAATTGCACATTTTTACTTAACAAACAAGTACGTTTCAATATGCCATTTTATTAATGATCAAATTTGTGTTATTTTTGTAATTAAAAAACTAAAAAGTAACATAATCTGAAATAAAAAAATTTGATGGTAAGTAATAATGTAAAAATTAAAATAAACTTTATTATTTCATAACACTTACTATGTATTATAAATTTAAAAGAACAAGTTTTGCGAATTTGTTTTGCATAAAATTCCGATATCACTTTATGAGTTTGTTCATCTTAGCTGCATTGAGTCTGCACTAAAATAGGACAAATATACATATAGCCTGGACTGTACTATCCTGTTTTAGTACAATCCCAGTGCAGTTAAAAAGAACACACCCAATGTGTCAATTAAATAGCGTTTTTGATTGAACGGATTTTGATCGATCCAGGGTTGTATAATGACGTCATTGCAACGTCTCCGTCAATAAAAGACTTGATTCATAATAAAATAGTGATTAATTAATCCGCGATGGATCAAAATCCGTTCAATTGAAAACGCTATAAGTAGCAAATATAGTACTGGATAAGTGTATTAAATCTTTTAATATCCTTTTTCCCTATTCACAATAATGGTCGTTTTATACCACTATTTTTTTATCTACAGTTGGCTATCCTTATTCTTTTTTAACATATAAACCCAGCATTAAGAATCAATAGTAGTAAAAATAACAATCTTGTTGGAATATAAATAAAATGCGGATCGTACTTTTTGTACCTTGATGACAATTCAGAGATAATACATAATACAATTATGGTATTTATATCAAGTCTGTTCTTTATAGCTGAACTGGCTGCACTAGTTCAGAGTTTATCTTTTTCCCTCCACATTGGAAGGAGAAAGATAAACTCTGAACTAGTGCAGCCAGTTCAGCTATAAAGAACAGACCTATAAAGAACAGACCTGATTTCCTCTGTACACTTTTAAGCCTCGTTTCCAGTTACGTTACGCAGCCTCGAAGATGCGCATGCGTTGATCGATGTGACGACGCTTACTTTTGGTTGGGATACGGACCAATGATTGCACGACGAAAGCAAGGCGCGCGGCGCTGCCGCATCGACTACAGGCACGCTCAATAAACGGCGCTAGTGTCCGTCAAGTGTCAGCCGTTCACGTCGGCCGACAGTGTTGCGAAACTGGAATCGGTGATTTAATTAGGAATAACGTATCTCTTTTTTTTTTAGTAAAATTGTGAAACTTTAAGCAATAATGACCGACAAGAAAGGTAACTATATGCCGTATCGCGCGTTACCGTTCATTTGCGTGTAATATTCATTGGCAGAGAGGGAAATATACAGCATACATACAGAACGTGCGTGCATACATATACAAACACACACACACACATACGTTAAGATAAGCCGTGCCTCACCACTTGTCACTTAGCGCGACGCCCGGTTGTCGCTCGAGGCGACGGCGACGTCGACGTCGATGCGACTCTTGGTGCAGGCGGCCCATGCTGCGGCGTTCGTCCTTTCGCGCATCGAATCCCGGGCGCTGGCACGGACCGCTCGAGTGCTTGACCCGGGTTGACAAGACAAATCAATACCGCGCATCGCGCTATGAATACAAAATGGCCTCCGGAGAATTGTTTATCCTCCTTCTCCCCGGAGAGAATTTTCGCTGTATTTACACTGTGAAATATTTTTCGCGATTTGTCGGATTCCGATCGTTCTCTTTAGATCTTTGGCCGTAGATCTCTTTCCGCTGGATCACTTTCGATCGTCTGTATTCCACGGTTCTCGTATTCTCGAATTCTCAAGATCCTTGCTTCGCGGGATCATTACTCCTGCATTCACAAAATTTTCAGTACTTATTTCATACTTGCATTTGCATTCTTACGGTTTCGAGGTCATTAGATTCTCAGAAAATTATGAAATTTAACGTATCTAAAAATTTGTATTTTTAGATAATTTTTTTTTTTTACTCTCGAAGTCATTCAATTTATTCTTGGAACCCCAGTCCTTTGTAGTTCTTTGTAATCGTTAATTCTCATCTTTTTCTAAAGTTATCATTCAAGTTATCAATTTATTTTTAGTTTCTTCGATTGATTTGCTTTTTATTCTCAAATTCTTGGATTTCCAGCTTCTTGAATTATAATTATCTATTTTTTGTACAATATAGATTTTTTATTTTTAAATATTATTTGTTATTAGACCAAGAGTTTTTGCAATTGTTAAACAGATGTAATCATGAGATCACACATATACAAGCTTCAATATTACACTGTGTTCTTTGTTTGATAAATGTATTGAGAATATTGAGTTTTAAACTGAATTCTTTATGGTAAAGATTTAAAAAAGTATAAATATTATAATGTGTTTTTATTTGTACACGTATGATGTTTGACACATTGAAGCTCCGGAGGTCATCTCTTGGTATTAGTCGTATTCTTACAGATTGCAGGGGCTGCTTACAAAAGAGAGAATGCGCTAACGTTATATATGAAGTGTATGATTAAGAGACTCATAGAGTTTAAGAATCAGTTTGTTCAATAGTTTTGTGCCAATAACAATCGAACAAGTACACTGCGGAGTTAAAGCGATCTCGAGTTCATTTAAGCGTCTGTTTATCTGCTCAAGCTATTCCAGGTGTCTCGGATTTGTTTTGTTCCTTTGCACGATGGAGCAAGATCCGAGATACCCGAAGGAAAAGCTCCGGCAAAAAAGTTATCCCTCGTCTAAGTGCCGCAAGAACAGTAATCTCGACGACATTTCATTACCAAATCTGGTCTCACCGAGCGGGTGACTCTACGCTCCTATAGAGCGTAGTGTGATAAGGATACCGTAAAGCTTAGCCTGTAAGTGCAGAGCCGTTGCGCTCCTTTACCATAATAATATTGTTAGTAATGTGAGGACGTCTGTTATATACTGCTGCGAGTCTGCTACCATTTATATCTATGGCGGTGTAGCAGCTGAGCGGAGGGATAGCGCCTACAATTTGGCTGTCAATATGTTTGCAGCGGACCATTACAAAGACGATTTGATCCCAGTCAGTAGGTGGAGCTCCGGAGACCGGCGCAGCCTAAGCCACGTATCTAACCTCACCTTACTCTATATATTACCTTAACTCACTACGTGTTTATACCAACATATATTACGTACACACCACACACATCACACACAGACACACATACATGGACACACATACACATATACACATTATATATAAATATGTATACCACTGTTATGCTGAGACTAATGTGAGGAAACTTGATTGCTTCTAGGTAACTCTCGCTGTACCATACATTCTTTTGCATTTTGTAGTAAGGACGAGTTGTTTGCCATAAAAATCAAGGAACGTAGTAGCCAGGTAGCAATACAAGAGGTATCGCAAAAGGGACTCTACGGTACATCTCTCTTGCGAGAGAAGTAGACTTCTTTGGAAAAACTCTTTAGAACAGCCAGTTATATTTTTGAAAGATGAGAAATATATGGATTTTCTAAGTACAGACATTGCAAAAGAAAGAAATGAAAATAGGTGTACTTGTTAGAGAAATATGAATATGCACATACATCTTTTTATCTAATTTATATCAGATTTGATATTAGAAGAGTTGTATATGTGTATGTGTGTACCAAGTTCTTGATATTCTCCTAACTTGGTCGTGATTCCAGAATCACTGACTTGCAAATTCGTACATAATTTGTCAAATTCAGATCTGAGATAAATATCTAATCTTTTTCGTTCATGATTCTTGAAATTTTGTATCATGAGAATTTATGTATCTCAGGTTTTGGAACCTGTTGAAAGCTGATAGTATTTAGCATCAAGTATATTCACATGAAAGCTATTATCTTTAAATATACATAGCAAGCCATATTTTGAGCAAGATTATTATATCAAAAATTGAAAATATTCCATTCGTACGTTTCTCGATTGTCCAATATTTTATTCTACACTGACATGGTTCTGAAAAATATTTAGAAGAAGCAATCATTACCTCACGCTGGTCTCAACGTGCATAAAGATATAGAATGCAACAGGCGTCTCCTGAATTCAAAGTAGAGAACGTGCCGTATTCAAATTGAGAATCATATAAATTCAAGCTCGATTATCGTTACGTTCTAAAACTCTCCACTTGAAAAAAAAATCTGAAAACTTGATATTTTATTTGATTCTCCGATTTTCTTAGCAATATCAGTATAGCACGATCGTTTGGTCTCTTTCCAGTATTTAGAGATGTAAAGTAAAGAAAAATATGATCTATATTAGATATACTAAAAGTTTGTAGAGAAAAAGTATGAAATTCGAGTCTGTTTCTATTTACGGTTGTGAACACCAACACATAACGCGTTCGTGCCATTTAATTAGGCGTTTTTTTTGGAAATTGGAGGCGCGGGTCGCTATATATCCAAATCAATACGACCGTAAGATATTGATATGGGTGTATCAATATTTCATACTGGAACTTCGTGATATTGGCTGACTGCTTTATTCACTGTTGTTTTTTTTTCCTTTATTTTCTACGCCCGAATATGCTCGCGCGTGGGTGCATTCGCGACTTTTTTGCACATTGCAATTGCCTTTTGAAGAAGACAAAGAATTTTCCAAAAATTTTCAATTGTTTATTGATAAAGCTTGTCATACGAGATATAATTATTCTCGATTCTCTGATCTCTCAATCATTTAATTGTTTAACTTTAATTGGAGTCTTGTTCAAGTCACTCCGTCGAGATTGAACATTTTCCAAATGTATTTCCGCAAAAAGAATTACAATTAATTACACGCGCGCGCCAGCATAGCGGGCTTTGTGAGTGGATACGAATGCTATATCTAAGCTCGGCGTACTTTTTGACGATACTTTTACTTCATTAGGAACTTGCTAGCTCACTTTTAACAATTAGTGCATGTTGCTTTGAACCGCATCACAAGTTTCCTATTATCGCTGAAATAAAGACGAAAGCATCTCAGAAAAGGGAAGACAATTTTTCGAGAAAGTAAAAACGGCACGAGAATAAAGTGCGAAGGAAATTCGTGGTCGCGGCTGCTGCACGTCAGTAGATTCGTGACAATATAGTCAAATATGGACATTTCGATTTCCTTCTTCGATGATCGTAGCGTAAATCTTAGGTCAATTCTTCGGTAGCTCAAGAGTAGCTTGAACATTTTGTAGTGAGAGAAGCAAATCATGAAACGTAATCTCACGTCCGACCTCCCCGACGCGCTTGCGACTTGCGACTCGCTTCGGCGGAGGAAGAGGCAAAAAAAAAAAGAAAAAAGAAAAAGAAATGAGACGGCCGCGAGATGGCAGGGAAAAATTCAAAGTGAAATTACGTTCATCCTTAACATCCTAGTAGGCCATCGTGTGCAAGTACGAGCTTTGATCTTTTTCCATGAATTGTTACCTCGACTCGCATGCTTAAAAAATGTACTTTCTTTGGCGGCAAGAGGCGCGCGATCGCCCGCCTTCGCGGCGACGCCGAAGGGCTCGAAGGGAGCGGTCGTGCCGGCTTACCGCCACTGTTTCTATAAACGTGCATGTTTTTTTTCTTTCGATATGCTGTTTTAACCGGTTCTCACAATTTTGCTTTGAATTGTTACTTCATCCACGTTCGATCCCACCTCGAAGAACACTTTTATGCAGATTCGATTTTAATTCGCGGGCGAAGGCGGGATCGGACGGGCTGGTGTTATCATTTTGAATCGTCTTGTTGTTGTGTGATCACCATAGTTCTATAGATCTCGAACATCGCCCCGGGAGACTCGCCCGATCTCCCAGATCTACATTTTGAATAACGTTATATTCAAACGATGTGTATTATATTGTTATATATATTTTTTTTTTCGATAGGTTGCTAGACCCACACACTGGCAATTGCGGCGAAGTCTTCCGGTGTTGCGATGATTGCATGCGCATGATCTGGCAGGATCTGTAATCGTGTACACTGTTAATAGTGAGCTTAAGCGAATTAGCGTTTGTTGATACGTTGGTCGATATTGGGCGAAAGTGTCCTCATAACGATCTAGAGATCATCGGGAGCAGAAAGATCGGTTTTAAGAAAAGGCTTATCTTGCCATACGTATTCTCTTTTTACTTATTGCGTGTACAGAATGCTCTAAATCTCGTAGATACTTTTAATGACAATTTTCGGGTCAACTTGGAGTTGATTTTTTCTCACTGAAAATGTTAAGAGCATCTTTGAAATAATGTATTTTTATAACCGAGTCTCAAATTAAATTTTTCTCCAATTTATTTGAAATTAAGTCACAATTCTGTTGCTATTTCTGGTTTTATTGCTTACTTCGCGAGAAACTCTTGTTTTTTTCAATCGTTTATAATACAAAAACCAAGTGCCTCGATATTTTCATTCAGGAAGAATCAAATTCTAAATTGGTCGGAGAATCTGTTGTTAAAGTAACATCGGTGAGTTTTAGGATACTCTGTATGCTATTGGATTTTTGATACTGCAGATTCTTAATTCATTTTATGGATCGCAAAATTTCTTTCATACTTCCACAATTTCTTAGCCGCTTCTTGCTACGCTTCCAGTGATTTCGTCCATCTCGAGGACACGTCCTTTTGTCCACGGAAGCATTTCGATGAATGTTGTTTCTTCGGCCGCTTAAGCCGGTTCGTCGAAAATTCGATAACGATAAATGAGAAAGAACACATTCTGATTCTGAATAAGCGTCGAACTGCTCATTGGGACAAATCGAGGATATGAAAGAAAAAGAGAGTGTGCGTGCGTGAAAGGGAGAAAGAGAAAAGAGCGATGGACATTTTTCGAATTACCATTAAGCCGCATTAATATTATAAACGGTCATGATTGATTCGATGATTGTTTGCACCGTGGCACATAGACACATAATTTACTACTTCCCGGAGGTTGCACGAATCTGGGGACGAATCAGTATCCGGGACGCGCAATGTAGAACATTTCCAAGCAAATCGTTACGCAAGACGGTCGGATTTGAAATTTTTCGATGGATCGATCGAGTTTTTAAAGTAAAGCCGAGGGTTGAGATTCAATTTCTATGGAAGCAAAATCTAGAAATTATCAGGATTTTTGCGATCCACGAAGCGCTAACAATTCTTATTATTTTTGGATCTTTAGATTTCTGAATCTTCACGTTCCCGAAACTTGTTGATTTTTCCCAAATTGTCATAGATTCTCCATATTTTCTTTTGCACTCTTGGAAATTCCATTCGCAATAATTGCACACTTAGATGCCGAAAGTAAAATGGCAAAAAGGATCGCTGGATTCGTCACTGCTAGTTCGGCCAGCCTCCGGTCACATCATTAACAATTTGGTGTGGGCTGACATTTATGTTAGAGTATAACATGTTCATCTAGCACCAACGCAACTGCGCGCATGACGCCTAGAGGACGAAAAATCCTTTTCCCTGAAATTTGCTCTATCGATCGCTTCGTAACAGAAGATTTTCATATTATTTTCAATATTTATTTTCATCAAATTCTTCGACAACAATTCAGAATATATTTTTTCAGAATAATATATTTTGACAATGTCCAAAGATGCTCGGTGATGTGAAACTGCTGAAAGTCTTATATTTTCTCTTTCAAGAAAAATTGTACATTCTTTTGATTTATTCCAAACTGTTTGAATTTTCACGTGCATTTCTTAAACGTATGCAGATTTTTTGAACGTCTTAATGAGATGGAAGGACAATTGGCCTCTATTTGGCGGCGGCGCGT